GAAACTGTGTTAATTTACTGTTTCTAATTTGGTTATTTAACCATCATTTTATTGCTGTAATTTAATGCATGACAATGCATTTAATAGTGTTTAAATGGTATAAACTACTGCCATTCTAGCTGTTTCTGTTTTTAATTCATGTTGTGAGCCACCTTGAGTCCTGCATTGAAAGAAACGTGAGATGTTCATCATTTCTGTTTCAGCAGTGATATCAATGAGACAATTAACAGAGGGGGAATGCAAAAATGGCAAGGAAGGACCAAATGTGGCTAATTAATGGACTAAACCATGGTTAAGCACAGGATGGGCAAAATTCAGAGGTCCATGAAATATGCTGGATTTTTCAACTTCACCATAAATCAGAATTGACTTGGGAGCATGCAATTATAATTATGTTTGCAAAATGTTTTCTGGGTTGGAGATGTTCCAGTTACTCAAATATTATACACAAGCAGCAGCTATCCAAGTTTATTGTGCATTTCATTTGCTTGTTTCCAACACTGCAACATCTAAATAAGCACTACCAATTCTGCTTATTCACAAATTTATTTGCAAGGATATTGCATTTATTTAACTGTGACATAGCTGTCAGTGAGGCATGCTTAAAATTGCAGTTTTGCAGCCTAATCCCATATATGTTTCTTTGGATGTAAGCTCCACTAAATTCAAAATGAAGCACACAAAGTTGCAGTCTCCGCTAGTATTCACTGGTCGGCTATATAAAAAGTGTTCCAGTGCTGAAATATCCCACACACCAGGCTTCCATTTCCCTCCATTAACATTTTCCTGTTGCAGTTGCAGAACTGGGAGTAGTTAGTATTTCTGGATGAATATATGTTTTATACCTCTTAACACTGGCTATGGTATGTTGCATGTCTTGCCACAAAAAATCTTGCACAGTGGCTAAACTGCAGTAATGCAGTCAAGCCTCTGCACATGATCTGGGTTAGATCCTGATGGGTTCAGGTAGCCGGCTCAAAATTGACTCAATCCATCATCTGGGTTAGATCCTGATGGGTTCAGGTAAAATTGACTCAATCCATTTTTCCAAGGTCAATAAAATGAGTATCCAGCTTACTGAGGCTCAAAGTGTTGTTTGCATAGTTATGTTGTAAACCACCCAGAGAGTTTTAGCATTATGGGGCGGTATATAAGTCAAAACAAAAACATCTGAAAAATACAAGCACACATTAATCAATTGGAGAATGCACAAAATACATACAATAAGTGTGTTGCATTTACAATACAAGCTAAAGTATAGATGTATGCATATCTATGTATACAAGAAGAGTGGGAAAGAAGAACTGTATTGCGACTCAACAGGAAACTCTGATAGACTGGGAGTAACAGTGAGAGTCTCAGAAATGAGATCCATAGGTTTTTCACTTCCATAAACTGGAGAGTATCACATGCTGCTGTATTTAAGCAGGACTAGAGGAACATACAAGAATTTCACAATAGTAATGTTTCTGTTCTTTACACATGGATAAATTATTCGTATTTCAAATCTTTAGTGTATGTCTATGTTCACAAGATGCAAATGCAACGTAAAAAAAGAAGATACAATGGGAGGATGCTGTTCTTAGATGCAGTTCAGAATGTGGAAATCTGCTGGCAGTGCTATGAGTTCAGAAATGTCTCCAATGCAAGGTTTAATGCAGTTACATTCCATCAGATTACTTCTTCTATCATACCATTCGCAGCCGGGCTCTACTCTTGCAAACTCAACAATGGATCTTTACTTACTGAGTCATTCCGCTGCAGGTTAGATCTTCCTTTTTTCCAAATGCCGTCAATTTTTCCCAGCACTATTGTTTTTTCCAGCGAATCTTGTTTTCTCTTGGTATGTCAAAAGTACAAGAGCCTCAAGTTTAGTTATTTTAGTTTCTAGTGAGAGTTGTGGATTCATTGGCTCTAAAACCAGCTTATTTGTCTTTCTGGCTGTCCATGGTATCTGTAAAGCTCTCCTCCAGCACCATATTTCAAAGGGATATATTTTTTTCTATCCATTTTCTTCATTTTCCAGCTTTCACATCCATACACAATGATCCAGAATACTGTAGCATGTATGACCTTGGTCTCCAGAAACACTTTCTTATACTTTTAGATCTTTCTAGTTCCTTTCTAGTTGCCTTTCCCAATTTCAATCTTTTTTGGACTTCTTGGCTGCGATCTCCCCATATAATATATGCAATATTGACATTAGATAACCAATATGTTGTCTATTGTGCTATCTTAACTGAAGACTAAACAAGTAGCAAAGTGAAATAGTTCTGCAAATATGGAGTTGTGTTTCAGATTTTTTTTTTTTAAGTTTTTAAATAAACCGGAATTGCCAGTAGCTACACTTTCTTCTTCTCTTAAGAGCTGAACCACATGAACTATGCCAAATCCTAATGTGTTTACATTAACAAGAAACTATTCCAAAGGAATCTGAAAGAAGTTGTTACACTGGTCATTTTTATAGCAATCCCCCCCAGACAAGCAGCAGCCAATAGCTGCCACACAGTTAGGGAGCTCTCATTTTTCCCCACCCCCATTCCCCATTCCTCATCCCAAGCCACACTGTTGTTGTTTAATGGAAAATACCCAATTTCACTGCTAAAGAACAATTTGTCTTTACATACCATGTCTACCATGGAAAGATTTAAAGCCCTCAGTAAATAGTGTGCATACTTGAAGAAGGACACACCAAGTTCTGAACAAAACAGTGGAATCTCCAGATTGACATTATTTGAGAGGTCTTGTTGTGATCTGCTTGACTTCCTAACCTAGTGAATTATGTACAGATATTCAAAGTTATCCTTGTCTAAACAATATCAAACCAGGAAAGAATATGTATTTACCTTTCACACACAAAACATTTATTTCAAACACACATTAAGAGCCAGTGCATACATCACAGAGGGTGGAAACTCAGCTGCCCGAATAATAACTAGTGAAAATTATTTAGTTTACATTTATACCTCACTTTTCTTCCCACCAATGCAGTATCTGTACGACCAAGGTTTACAGTGCCTCCAGTGATTTGTGCTTAAAGCACATAACAAAGAAAATCACCAATGCAAAATCAACACTGAACAACAATTCAGCATAATGAAACTGAGGAAGCTAACCCAACAAAAATCTCAAGAAGGAAAAGAAATTAAATACTATTTGAAAAAACAAAACAGTCACCTGATGTCAAAATGATAGGAAGAGAAGGTGATCGGTGAAATTTCTTGAGAATATTCCAAAGAAGCACTTTGCCTCATTAACTAATCCTAACCACTAAAACCAGTAACACCCAGAGGAACACTTTAGGTGATAATACCAGAGAACGGGCTGATTCATATGACAGAAAACAACAGTGTAATAATTCCCCCTCCCACTGGTGTCAGAATATGACTGAACTGAGGCTGCCATAGCTAGAGGCATATCATGAGGAGACAAAACTCACTGGAAAACTGAACAATGCTAGCAGTAGTTGAAAGCATTAAGAAAAGAGGAAGACCTAACATTAAACTGATTGATGCAATACAGGAAACCACCAGTTTTAGTTTGCAAAACCTGAACATGATGCAGGATTGTCCGGGGTCATTTATTCATAGGGTCACTGTAAGATGAAAAGAACTTGATCACAAGTGGCTAGAGAAACAGGCTTGCGTGTTATTATTAGCTCAACAACACCATCCATATAAGAACATATTTGCCTATGAAATATAAATAAAAAGATGGAAGTCCATCTTCATGTTCATCAACTAAATCTGAAGTCCAAGAAGCATTTCCGGTACTTAGGAATAAGAATGCCAATTCAAAGTCTAGAAACATTGCTGGCAAAGTGAGGTGAACAAGAAAGAGCTACAGTAATTTTTTGTGGGTTGCCCACTCTGTTGATTAGGGAGGCTTTCGAGGTGTGTATCGCATTTACATTATTGAGAAATAAACAATTAGAGTTAAAACAAAGGCAAAGAAGCACTCCCAACAAAGTGGTCTCCTGTGCCAGATCATGGTCCCAGAGACACTTGTACCTCAAGCATTTAACTTTCTCCTAACTCACAAGTCACACCCTGTGCACATTTACTTACTCAAAACTACAAAGTGAAAGTATCTGCTTCTCTACTTAGCCAGGACATCCACGTGTCACATTTGGTAGACTCTGGTGCATGTTGCCTTGAAAAACACAGAGAGATTCACAACTGTCAGGAGGAGACCATCACTGAACTGCTTGCTTCATTGCTAAAAACACCCAGACATTTCCCCCAGTCTTATTAATCGGTCAAAAGAATGGTCGGCCTGAAGCCAGACTCATCAAGGCAGACTGAATTATGGAGAAAAACATATCCGATTGACACATTATGAACTGGAGAACAAAGGCCACGGGTGACATTGTGGCTGGGAGTCATTTGTTATTGTTACAACCTTAAGGAAACGGGCAGATCCACAATCAGATTTATGAACAGGCTGAGAGAAAATAATAAATGGCCATCACAACATGGCTTGATTTCTTCCTGTTTCTTTTTTCTTTTTTATGTGCTCATAACCAGATAACATCGCTGAAAGAGGGAAGAGCAAAGCCAAGTTAGGTGGATTATTTGCTGCACGGACCCTCGCCAGGGGTAGAAAACAAGGTCCCTTTAACAGAAGGGCGCTGTTGCGTCTGCACAGCGCAGTCAGTCGGCGAGAAGCAACAACAGGTACGAAGGAAACTTTCTTTTTAACAAGAACGAGGAAGCGCTTTTTGAGAGATGAGACAAGTAGAGAGAACACGCGTGCCGAGGCAGTCTGTGCCCAACTCCGGCAGTGGAGAAACGGAAACGTGGGGATGGGGCGCCCCGCGTCGCTCGCAAGCGAGAACAAAGCCTTGGCAACTCACTTGCGCCCGGGTCTTCGTCCAGGTTGTCTCCACCCTTCAGGGGCAACCTCCCCCCCAATGGGGAGATCCTTCCCCCATCATCTTCCACCACCACCCCGACACGCACCCACACACCAGAAGCAAGTCGCTCCCTTTTCCTGCTTACCCTTTCAAGCTCCAGGCAGGATCCCAGTCTCTCAGGTTGGTGGGTTTGGGGTTTGTTGTGTGTGTGTTTTTTTCGCTCAGCTTGCTTTCATGCTTCTCTCCCTTCTCCTCTCCGCGCCCCCCACCCCGCTTGAAACAAGACGGCTCACAAAGAGTCTGCCGGGGAGTTGACAAACAAGTTCCTCAAGTCCCCCTCCGCACGCACACACACACACACACCTCTCTCTCTTTCCCCCTTCTTTTTCTTTCCACACACACACACGCGAGGTGCCTGGCGCCTCAGCCAAAGTCGGCTCCACAGGGGTGGGAGAGGGGAAGGGAAGGGAAGGGCTCCTTTGGCCACGCTTCTGCGGGAAGAGGAAAAAAAAGGTCGGTGGCCTGAAAGAGAGAGAAACACCTTGGACTTTCTTTCCCGCCCTCCCTTCTTCCTTTCAGCCAACTCTGACAAGCCAAAGCCCGTCCCCTAACCGGAAAGCGCCCACGTGACCCGCAGGTAAAGGCTCGCCGCCGTGGGGCGCGCCGCCCCCTTGCCAGGCATCACGGCCGGGGAGTGACTCCCGGCTGCTGCTCCTCAGGTTACCGCAGCTGCTGCAGGAGCGCGCGCGCCAGGAGGGAGAAGAACCCGGTGGGAATGTCAGGCGGGGGGG